CCCACCGCACTGGGGGTGACAGCGGCGGGGACAGCCCCCCCCTGCAGTGGCTTCTCCCACCTCAGCCCCACAGAAACTCCTTCCCCAAGTGGGGTGGGGGAAGGGGGCAGAGGGGCTGAACCTCCCCCAAAAAAAACATTTTCTTCCCCTCCGTTTTTATCAGGATCCCGTGGGGTTGGATATGGGTGCCCGTAGCCAGCACCAGAGCTGGGGACATGGTGGGGTGGCCCCACAAAAAGAGGGGACGAGGCGAAGCCACAGTGCTGGGGAAACTGAGGCAGGTCCCCAGCACAGCTTCAGCGCCTCCATTCTGGCTCAACCCCCCCAACCCCCCAAATTTCAAGCTCGGTTAACCCCTCACGCTGTCCATTCTGCTTTCCCTTCGCAGAAATAATTACCAAGACAGCGAATTTGTTTTGTTCCCAAGTGATTAAATCACTTAGCAACTTAATTACCTTAAAAACTGGCTTTCTCTTATTGTTATTTTTAGGTAATTTGGGATAACCGGTCATGTGAGTAATTGGGTGTCACCTTATTGAATCAACGGGGACGCGTGGTCACCGTGGGGCACAGCGGTGCGAAGGCTTCCCTGCCTCCCTCCAGGATGAACTCACCCAAAAAACAGCGCTCCCAGGATTTTCCTACCTCCTTTTTCATCCTTTTTTTAACGTGGATTTACCAGGACGGACTTGATTTTCCAAGACAGCCAGGTGAAGGAAAAGCGTGGGGGAGAAAAAGGGGAATTTAACTGAACTTGAATCTCCACTTTCTTGCCCCAAAACAGGCTGGTTTAGGGAACGGCAGACTTTTCCCACGAGCAATTTGTAACGTTTTATGGCAGAAAACCCTCTCTTTTCTCCCGTTCCCACCATACCGAGGACCACCAAGCCCCAGGATCGAGGTCAGCATCCCCCATCTCTTCCACCGCTGTGCTATGGGGACCAGTGGATGAGACCAGGGGTTTCCCAGCTAAGCCGGTGTCAGAGGACAAGGACAGCCACATCGCCCTGTCACAGCCAGTCTCTTGCTCTTAATTTCCCCCCCAAATCAGCCAAATGTAGAGATGCTGTGGCCTCACCAGACGTGGAAACTTGCCGATGCTGGAAGAGGAATCACCTCCTTCGCCCACGATCCAACAGCTCCGTTTTCCCCAGACCAAACGAAAAAAAAAAAAAAAGAGGGAAAAAATATAAAAGATAATCAAGATTAAAAGGAAATAATCAAAAGGAATGTTTTCCACATCTATCTGATCGCTGGGAAAGCTGCGGCTGAGAGACCCCGCTTAGGTGCCATGAGCGTGCTGGGTCTCAGCCGTCCTTTGGGATGGACCGCAGGGGAGCTGGGGTGTCCCCTGCTTGGTCCCTTCACCCCTGTGCCTGGCTGGGGTGGCCCTGAATTTACCTCCCACCCTCCTCTGAGCTGCTGGGAAGGGAAACTGAGGCACGGGGGACTTTTCCCCTGCCTGGTACAGGGTATGCTCACGCTGAGCCCTGGGCAAATGCCGCCGGCGTTTTGGCATCCGTCAGAGGAGCCGGCGGTCCAGCCAACCCGGTGAGCATCCTTCTCCTCCCCATAACACATCCAAACTCTCCGGATGGAGCCGGTAAGTGCTTTCAGGGGGGGAATGCCTTTGAAACTTCATTTATCCACCAACCTAAATGGAAAGCGCTTTATTACTTTTATCTCCGTAGCTCCATCGAAATACTCACCGGTCGGGTATAAACAACCCCTTAACGTCTCCTCTACCAGCTGCCGACAGCCACGGAGGTCAGCCGCTACAAATGACGCCTTCAAAATCAACCATCCGCTTCGTGATTTTAAGCAGGCGGATTACCTAAGCCGGGGGGAAGGCGGATTTGTCACCCCAGCCCCAACCGTCGAACCTGCTGCCCCACAAAAAGCCCCCCAAGCTTTATATTCCTGCTTTTCCAGGGCGGGTATAGGAGAGGGAGGGCGTGAAGCGATGCTATACGTCCTCCAGCCGTTGGTGACAGAGGGATTTTTGGCTCATCTCGTCCCTAAAAGTCTGTTTCCTCCATGAATTCATCCAGCGATGGCATCCCGTGGGAAGGAGCTCCGACACCGAACGAGGGTTGTGTGAGCTCTTTACTTCCCAGAGCCGGTCTTGAGGCAGGAGGGCAAAGAAGAAAAGGAGAAAAAAGGAGAAAGGAGAAAAAAAAAATATCATTTGGGGTAATAAAGCCTAAAAATCAAGCTTAGGGTGAGGTGGCTCCTCTTCTCCTTTCTCCCCCAGCTTGGGCAACACCACAAATGATGCCGAATTCAAGAGCAATAACACGGAAAAACCTATGGGATGGAGCAGGGAGACCCCAGCCCTGCCACCCCCTTGCCTGGGCTCCACCAACTCCTTCCCCACCCCACACTTGACCCAGAGATGGTCGGAGAGGGTCTGCACGGGATGGTGGTCCTTCTCCAAACACGTGCTTCCCTAACTTGCTTTATGGCTTCCCAGGATTTTTGAACTCCCGCAGCGCTCCTCGCTTTCTACGCTGACATTCCTCTATCACGTTTCGCAATTAAAGGTGATTTTCTCTTTCCTCCCTCCTTCTTGACGGAGCTTAGAATTAACTCGCTCCGGATTCGCATCCCCGTTTGCGCGTGCTGGCCTCATCAGAGATGTCAGCAAAGCTCTTCAACAACATCGCCTCCGGGTTTCGGGTTGTTTGTTTTTTTTTTTTATAGCCAAGCGCAGCTTGGGATGCGAATCCGGGAGCTTTCTTTTCCCAAAGGATGAGAACCCCACCGTCCCCAGGAGATGCTGTCCCTCAGCATCCCACCCGCGGGGACATCCGCGGGGCAGATGAAACTGGCAGAGACCCACGGCTTCACCCAAATTCCCGGCTCCTGGTGCCAGCCCAAGCCACGCTGAGCATCCCTTCCGGAGCCGCAGCGGTTTTAGCCAAAGCCAGAGGAGGAACAATACAGCTTTGGAGACCTGTCGTGGTAGCTCAAATTAGCCTTCAATGTAGGACCAGCCGTCAGGGACATTAAAGGTGACCGGGAGAAGCATCCTTTTAAGCTGCATGGCTGCACACGTGCGGGAGCGCCTGCCTTTCCCCGGAGGTTTCTCTGAGCTCTGGGAAATTGAATAAAGTTGTCATCCCCCTAATCTCGGCGCTTCTGCGTGAGGAATGTGTCCTCCCTTATCTCCCCCAAAACTCCTGCCTCGCCTTGCCGGCCTGTTCGGATTGCTTTAATGCTTCGCGAACCCAACCTGGCTCTCGGCTAAGCTGGGAAAATCCATCATGTTCTCCGAGGTGAGAGTAAAGTCCATAAAGCTTTTCACCCACGCAATCCTTCCCAAAGGGCATCATCCTCTGATCTCCTGAGCTTGGCCACCGTCACGGTCCCCACGCGCAAGCCAAGCCTTGCTGGGGGACAACGTTTACCCCAGACGGGGAAGATGGAGTGGACATCACCAGGGACATCACGCTCAGCGGCTCTGGGCTCCTTGTCTTCCAACCTACCTATGCTCCCGTGGTTGCAGCTGGGTTGGATTCATGGGCAGAGCTCTTCCTCCAGTAGCCCCAGGGAGAGGTATGCTCTGCACAAGGTGGGCAGAAGCTCAGGAGCATCCATCAGCTTCTGCTGGGGAGAAAAAAAAAAAAAAAGGTGTTAAAGCTTCCTTTGGGAAGCCAGGGGAGAGGTTTTCTCCGGCACCTTCTCACCTGGAGGCATCGGAGCGGCCATGAGTGCATGGTGAGCCCCTGGGGCAGGTTGCCCCGAGAAGCTGTGGCTGCCCCATCCCTGGAGGTGCTCAAGGCCAGGTTGGACGGGGCTGGGAGCAACCTGGGCTGGGGGGAGGTGT